CACACATTCCAACTCCATAGTCCTTTGAAAACTGATATCAGCCACTCGGCACCAATAGGAGTCAATTAATACTAATTATTATTACTGAAGCTGCATTGTGGTTAACTACAAACATATGGTTTAAGAACTGAATTTGAATACTAGCTGCATGATTATTTTACTTAAATGTTCTATAAAATAGGGGAGATATTAGCTATCTCAGTGGATATTTGCGAAGGTCTGGCATACAAATATACAAATATTTATATAGTATTCAGTAAAGAGATTTATAAACTGATACACACACACACACACACATATATATTGCTTTTAATTATCATAAATGCATAAGAGATATTAACAATCATTAAGTTGACTGGTATCAGTTCAATTTTTGTGTATGTGTTATAATTCCATGTTTCTTTCTCATTATAGTTTTAAAAAAACATTTATTGAAACAATAATTCAAGATAGCATGGATAATGAACGTGATACTTCTGAGCCAGGTTTTTGTTTCAATTCCTGTCCCATTTTCTTTATAAAGTGTGTTTTTATGTCTAAATTATTTTTGCTTCCAGATGGAATAGAAAACTTTTTTAGTATGAGATTAGATTTAATGAGGCATCTTGCCTCCTCATTTACTACTTCATATCTGTGGGGTTAAAAATAAAAGTATGACTTTGATGTATATATTCACTGAAAACTTGGAAATTGTGTCAGACAATAATCAGTTATTCTGGTATCTAACTAATATACCTTAAAGTTGACTTTCAGTTCTGAATTTTCAGGTTATTTTTAATTCTAAATTTTGACTTAGATAAGATCTTGAAGTATAAGGACTTTAGGTGAATTCATTCCTTGATGTGTCTGTTCAGCAAACATGTGAGTGCCTTTAAGTATTTTACATACTAAGATGCAGGAATGGGGTGTAGATTGAACGGCACAGCTCTTTTCACCCACAGCATTAAATACAGAGGGAAGACCCTATCATCTGTGGGAGGAATGCATGGTCCAGTCAAAAATGTGGATGTTCCTTGAAAGGAGATCTTACACTATTGTGAGAAAATCACAAGAAATTGAATACAGTGGATTCAATACCTGAATTTGGTATTAGGCCCTATGTCAGAAAGGCAAGCTCAGAAATTACTAAAAAATCTGAACTAAAGACACAGCCTCAGATGTATCTAATGGGCTAAGAGAACACTACAGGATGATACAGTGTAGATGGTGGGGAGATGGTCCATAGTCAGAAGCCTTTTAAGTATCTTTCACATTCCAGGGAGCTCTCTGATGACAGGAAATTTTCCTCTAAGCTGTCCCCTCAGGTGAAGGGGTATTTTTATTTCTCACAGGAAAGGAAAACAATGGAAATCTATATAAGGATTTGAAAAATTCTCACAAAGAATATCTATGGGAAGAACTTGAACATTTAAACAGCTTCATTTATGAAGATGAGCTAACATTTAAAAAACAATGGGAAGAGTTTGTAGCGGCCAGTTGTAGAGCAAATCAATTGCTCATATTGAACGCTGTATTTGGAGAACCATGTAGAAACAGTGATGGCCTCCCACACACTTTGCTTACCACGAACAAAATTTCCAGCAGGACAGAAGGTAAGTGATGGTCATCTGATATTTTTGATAAAGGCCACTATAGTGTCTTCTATAAGCCCTCCTTCCTAGCATTACACAAGCATCCTTTTCACTAACTTCTCATTAGTGGTTTAGAGCCACCTTGTCTTTTGTGAAACACAATGTTCAAGAAACTAAGAAACTGAGTCCTTGTGTATAGTTTGCACAGAAAGAACTAATTGTAGAGACTTAGTAGTAAAGGATACCTGAAGTTGAACTCAGCCCAAGTCACTTGGGCATATGTGATTTCATTCTTAAGTTTCCCAGGCATCAGTCTCACCATCTGTGAAATGGGGCATTTCCAGTAACTTCTTCACAACTTTGTATGACTAGGTGCACAACAGCAGGTCAGGATGACAACTGCCTCGATTTTAGATCTCAGCCAGAATTCTCTGAGCTCCAGAGTCCATTACCTCTAGTGTATATTCTGCATTTTCACTTCACATTACAAAAGTAAAATCACTTATCCCCACTAGCAAATTTATTCCACTTTTTAAATACCCTTTCTACCTAGATAGGAATGTACTCTATTAGGTTTCTTAATCCAGAGCATACCTGTATGCTTCATTAGAACATAATTGCTCTTAGCAGAGTCCGAGGCAGTTGCAGGCAAATAACACAGGATGGACAAATGTAAAACATATATGCAATTAATATCAGTTATTATAACTATCTTTAATTTCTAGTATTTAGAATTCTGCAATGCATAGCCATTTCGTGGTTCATGTAATATGATCATAACATCAGGAAAAATACCTAGGAATTGTTCAATAAAATCTTCCAAAATTTTTGACCAGAATATTACTGGACTTAATATCATCAGTAGCAGACTCAATATGCCACAGGGTTTAACTTAAAATCCCTGTCCTGAAATTAGAGTTTACCGTAATATAAGCAATAAAGAACAAAAGACAACAGAGATTGTGAAGACCTAAGACTGCAAAGTAGCTTTCTAAAAAGTCCTTCCTATAGAAAGGAACACACTCACTAGCAGATACTCATGCTAATCATATACATTTTCAAAATGGTGGCTTAGGTTGTTTTCTCATTAAAATTTAAGTGTAAATATTTAAGTCCTTGTGCAGGTTTATTTCTGTCTCTTAAACTTTGGAAGGGGGGGACTGACAATTTTTTCAAGTCAGAAATAATTCAGCAAAGGAGAACCAGAATTGAAGTAGTGGGAGCTTCAAAACGTTACTAACCCCAGGAATCACTATAAGCATTGAATTAAACTGAAATATCACAGCTGACTGTAGAATTGCTGTAGACAGGAGGAGGCATGGTCACTCTCATGACGTGTCCAGTGTCTCCCTCAGCTCTGCCTGCACATGCAGCCTCCAGAATGACTCCAGGACACCCACACGATGGTGGACCAGGGGGCCAGGAAGTAGGGTGTGCTACAGAATATGTAAAGGCCATGCCAGGCCTTTGGATGTGGATAAAGTTCTGATATAGTCTCCATTCTCATTCAGCGAATGGGGTGGGCATTCACCAAGGTATTTGTTTACTCTTACTTAACCAACTTTCATACCTGCATACTCTGTGTTGGGTAATGCTACTTAGTGAGAGAGCTAGCTCCTTGAATTCCTGCCCTCACCAGGAGAAAGGACTCTGCTTTTTCTATCAGTTTAAGGGTTTTCCTGGTCATTTCATTATATAACAGATAAGTATCAGATATTACAATTTTTACATAGGTTCCTGAGTCTCTTACTTCTTTCTTATGTGCTACTAGGCTAATGGGAGTTCCTGTTGGAACTCTCCTGTTGGAGAGCAAGTTACACCATATATTGTTTTGAAATTTACAGATTCATGTTCATGCTAGTTTTACTTCAAAAAGTATCTATCTAATTTCCAATTTTATCTGCAAAGGATATATTTATACACAGACACATATAATGTTCTAGGTGGTGATGTTTGTTAAATTTTAGTTTACCAAAGCTGCATAAATTAGAAAGAAAGGAGGAACTTTTAGTTGGAACACATACCTTCTAGACAGCTGTGTTCCAGGACCCTGTATTGCTCCATGCTGGTCGTCTTCTGGAACGAGAAGGGAAACAACATTTCACTATATAATCCATAAAAAGAAATAATTCAGAAATGGTGGTAACTTAAAGCCTAAAATTTGCTGCATCTAAATAGCTGTTATGTTGTTAGCATCACTTCTATAAAGGTACTTATTAAAAAATATATATCCAAAAACACATTGGAAAAAGTGAAGTAAAAAAAATATAATAAACTACAGTAATAGAAACTTTTATACAGGATAATATTGTAACTGAAGATAATGGTTTCTTCTCACGAAATAAAGCTTGGTTACATCCCCTCTGGTATATTCCTCTTAATTTCTTCTGTAAATTTCTCCTCTTCCTGACGTCCAAAGGAGGGCTCTGGGCTTTCCCACACTCTTGCACACCCTCAGCCAGATGAGGACAAGCCATGCTGGAGACACGTACATTTCTCTAGTGACTAGGTCAGGATGCATCAGAAGTAAACTTTTCCAAGAGGGAGGAGTTAGTTCCTCACATATTAAACATGGGTTGAAAATACTGCTGTTTGTTCAGCAATTTGGAATAAGGACATCCATATTAGGTAGCATGCTCTGGTTCCTAGACAGCATTTCTCCTGTAAATAGCTAACTTCAGTACAGGATGAAGACTCAGTGAGGTCCATCTCTCATGGGAAGGTGAGTTCAGTTCAGGCTTAGGTTGCTAAAAATAGATTCAGTATTTGTGTTAGATGTTTGTATCTGATGTGTTGTGTGGATTACGAGTCACATGTGGTAAGCCAATGTGACTACTAAGAACTTGAATTGGGACTATTATATATATAGATCTAATGCATTAGTAGGAAATATATGTTAACATTAATATCATCTGTTCATTTTTTATAATGTGGACATAAGACAATTTAAAATTTATAGGTGTGACTCATATTTCCAACAATAAATAGTATTTAATATACTTTTGCTCAGCGATAACAGCAAGTCCATATGGGTGAGTGAGTATTCTAGAATAAAATTAGTGGGAAAAAAAATCAAACTTTTCTGCTAACTATGGCAAGACTACAATTAAACCCATGTTACCAAGACTTTTTCTTTAAAATAATAATAATCTATGATTGCATTTTGGGGACAATACATTTTTCTTTCTGGGGGCACAACTGCATTCTCTATCACACAATTCTCCCTGCCTCCTTAATCCTCACTAAACATTAGCTACAACTATACATATTAAGAAAACTTCTTCACAGAATTTTCCTTTTCTGTAAATATTCTTAGCTGCTAATTAGGTTGATGGTCACAGAAGCAGCTGTGGTAATTTATATGATGTATGTATCCTGCAGTTCCTCCAGAGCTTGAGGCCAGACCAACTGAGTCAGTGAAATCAATAGATGGCATCAAGCTTTGCCCTGATGAAGAATTCCAGAGAATACATAGACAAAGGGCTGGAGAGGTAATGTGCTCTGTATGTGAAAATCAGAAGAGAATCAATGGTTTTCACCAAATACATGTGGCTAGAGAATGAATGCTTGTGAGGGTGGGTGGTGGTAGTCTTTCATAGGTTCTTTAAGCAAGGAGGTTATCATGAAACTTCCCATAGACACCATTCTATTTTCAACCCCATTACAGAATGCTAATAGTGGTTTTGTAGATTTGTTAGTTCTCATTTTGAGGGGGACTTATGACAATTTTACAGTCATTACGAGTCAAAAAAAGTTTTATAACATGACTGAATAGGAAGTACTTATATTCTAGTGGAAAAGCATAAGCACAAAGCATATTTAAAGATATAATTACTGTCCATAAGGCTTCTTGTGTTGATATGTTTAAAACAGTATCCAGGGGGCATCCCTGGTGGCACAGCAGGTTAAAGCACAGCACTGAGAATCTAAAGCCGCTTCCACATGAGTTCGATTCCCGCCTGCCCCGGAGGTGACCACATGGCGTGGCAGACCTCTCCTGGCCCATCCGCTGCTCCCCTCAGCAGTGTACTTCGTCAATCTGCCTGGTCTGTTCCCCTCTCTGTCTCTGGTGAAGCCTCTTACAGACCCTGAGCCTCTGGCCTGCACCCCAGTTCTGTATGCACAAATAAATAAATCTTAAAAAAAAAAAAAGTATCCTAAGAATAATATTACCAAAGGCAAAGAGTATCATCCTTCAGCTGATGCCAGTGTCAAGTTCATGTTTTTTTTCTAAAACTCAGCCTGCATCAAGATTACTGAGAAACAATTGAATAGACAGAGGTAGGGCTTTTTTTCTAGTCTCTTGGGATTCTCAAGAAACCACCCAGCCTATGTCCTAGGTCCTCCCAAAATTCACTTTCTCTTCACACGTCTTCCTGTTGTCTACCCAATCCACTACATAGAGGAAGAGAGGCTGGGCCTTATGCTATTGGATGTGGGAGGGTCAGCTCCACTAACCCTTCACAGAGCAACAGTGACTAGTGTAGGCAGGTTTCACAGAGTTGAAGTAAGTTTAGTCCACTACATACATACTCATCTGAAGATATACTTGTTAAAGTAATCCTCAGGGCAGGAAAAAGCCTCCAGCTTTGCCTGTAGAAACTGACCAAAGGGTAAGGGAAGAAAAGGCAGCAGCTCTGCTGTGGCTACCAGATTTGGTGAAAGATCTCTAAGATCTCTAAATATCATGCATCCAATATTTTTCAGTTTCGTTGGGTCTGTTCCTCAGTATCAAACACCTACTGTCCAAAAATAATTAGCTTCTGTAAGTTATGACTAGTTAGTGAATGCATGTTACATTTTCAACTTTCAACAGAGACAACTTTAATTCTTAAGACTCTGATTTTGGGACATCATTGGGACTCCGCTGAAGATGGGGAGAGGAAGAATTATTGACCAGAAATATCCTGAAATATTCCTTAAGTGAATATGCTTGAAAAAGAGTGACAGATAAATTAATAAATTTGACTGAATAGAGGCATCACAGAGGAAGTTGCTCTTTTGGTGGCTGGTCATAACAAGAAACCACATCTTGTCTTTCCAGAGGGACTAGGAGTGGCCTGGGTAAGAGATTCAGGAGGAGCTTATGCAAACAGCTCTTCACTGTTTCCTGAAGACTATGAGGATGATTCTATTAAGAGAGCCCATATAGAGAAGGATTTTATTGCTTTCTGCTCTTCCACACCAGGTAATCTTTGTCTACCAGGTGATCTTTGTCAGCATCATTAGTGTAGGAAATCAGTTATTTTCAGATTGTACTAACAAACCATATTCTCCAAGTTAATCCAAAATAGATTATAGAGATTCTCTGTGAAAAATGAACATCGATGTCTTTAATTTGTAAAAGGCCTTCACAAATACCTGCTTCTACCTTTCCCACCCATTTTCCTAACAGGAACTAGCTTCATAAATGATTGCAGTTTGAAAAAGAATTTTAATCTCTTCTCATTATCTATGTAATGACCATGATTACAGAATAAAATGTTGGTAGAAGCATGTTCATACTTACATGCACAGCAGCTGATATACATTTCTCTTATTTTTTGCATGTTTTATTTCTCTACTATGTAATATAACATCATGTTTAATATTTCTCTCCATTAAGAGACTGTTATACCTTGCCTTTCAAAATTATTTCTCAGATTGCATTTTTTGACTCTGCCATTTTCATATTTAGCTAACTTTTGTCTCAGTGACTGTGACTGATAGTACTTGATTCGAACTATTATTTTATAGAGTGTGTAAATTGAAATCATATAAGTTACCATGTATACACTGGGTATTATGCATCTTCTATTTTCTAAACACATGTGAGACATTATATGTAATCTTCAGATATGTCTTTGTGGCAGGAATCATTCACTCCTGTTATAGCTAGACCATTGTATTTCAGAGTATAATTAAGTCAGAGTCAGGAAGTGGTTTTACTATCAGGTATTTTTTCCCCAAGGACCAGTCCTCACCCCATTCAGCCTTTCTCTCCCTCTCTACTATATCAGTAGTCTCTGAACTCAGAGACTATTCAGCCTAAAATCTGCACCCATATAGCACCCACCCTTGCCCTCACATATTGTGAGGAGGGGACCCCGTGATCTGTGGTGGTTGGGTGCCTTGTGGTGGGTGTGTGGTGCAGACATTCAGATGAAGATATGTGATCCTGTAACTAGGTATTGCATTTGTAAACCAATCTTAGCACAATAACAAAAACAAAACAAAAAAAAGCTGAAAAATATATATAGATTTAGGATTCCAGAAAAAAAAAATTGTGGCTTACAAGTACAAATACATTCAGAATATACTCAAAAAATGAGCTGGGAGTGTACAGATGAAAGTGTGAGAATAGCATAATATGAACAGTCTATCTCAGCTAGCGAGGAAACTCTAGTGCTTCCAGCTCTGTGGCAATCAACAGCCTCAAGTGAGATTTGCAAATTGCTTCATTCACAGATAATGTTTCCTTGAGACATCCCACACATGGCTGTCTCTTTATTTTAAAACTCATAGAAAAATTTCAAGAATATGCTTGGTGCTGTGACCTGGAGGAAATTTTCCGAAAGGTAGGGACTTAGATTCTTCTGCATCTCTGGTTGTTTGACTATTGCAACTAGAAACCCAGGGAACAGCTGTAAAAATGCCCTTTGGTGAGTGAGCAAAGTGGAAAGCCACCCAAGACTGGGAATGTCTGGTGGCCACTCCCCATTTGCATAGGCACATTGCTATGACTTTAACAGCTGTAGATCTTTGGGAGATCTACAAATTGTTCTACACAGCTGGCCTGGCAGGTGTTTTTTCGTTTTTTTTTTTTTTTTTTTTAATAATAGGAAGGTGATCAGTTGATTATCAAACAGTTATTAAATTATAGGTACTGTTAGTGCAATTAACATACAAGAGTTCCTTATTTACTTTTCTATACTCTGCATAGTCTCTTAAGCTGAGCTAAAGAGTCTTCCCTCAGGAAAAAAAAAAAAAAATCTACTGATTATCTGTCCCATCCAGGTTCGGTTTTCCTTTGAGCTGCCAGAAGGCAGGGCACAGATGCCCACCGCTGAAAGAGTGACTTTGACAAGACTTTTCTACCTCTTTCCAGGACTCTAAGTGAGTAATCACATGAGTGTGTGTGGACAGATGTGTGTGGTGGGGTGAGGTTGAGGGGACAGTGGAGTTTCACCTGGTCACGTGGGTGTGCAGGCCCCAGAGTAACAACAGGGACAACCGGGGCTGTAGTGCAGGGTGGCTGCTCACGGCTCTGCTGAGCTCCGTGGCCCTCTCAGGCCTGCTGATACCGAGTGAGAAGCAGTCGGAGGTGATGGCAGTTAGTGGCAGCTTCCTCCCCTCACCTCAGCAGAGCAGCACGTAGTCGTGGGCTGATGGGCCTGTCTTTGCCTGTGTATGTACACCCGGTAGATAGAGGGATTTCACTATTGTGCACAATTTAATTTTTGTTTGTTTTTTCTCCTTTTCCCGTAGGATGCCAGGAGACTGTTATGCTGCACCTGCTCTTGAAAACATGTCTGCAGGTGACATTACTTCGAACATTCCAGAAATAAGAATATCAATAAATGTTCTTTAATCAGGATATAAAGATGCAATTTTGCCTTGATTTTCTTTTGCTAGCCCAGGATAACAGGAGTTGAAGAAGCAGGTCACCGGGTTATGGACTTGGTGTCTTAGTCTCTGTCCATAAAGATTCCATTGGCTAAAGCACCACTCTTATAGAAACCATTTCAGGGCTTCGTGCTTTAGGGCTCAGAGGCAAACTGCAGCAGGCACCTATTTCAGAGGACTTGGCCTCAGTGAGGAAGATGCAGATCAGCACCCTGTGTGCTAAGTGACTCACCAAAGTCCCAGAGTGTACAACTGACAGAGCCCTAAGTTGTGGGAAGAAGACCAGGGTGAAAGCGGTTGTGTGTGGGGATTAAGGAATTCATAAGAGACAGACTGAGGAACAGAACAGATGGGTTTATTGAGATATGCTGATAAAAGAAGCAGCAGGTGAGAATGCAGACTCTGTGCACCTGGAGGACTGCTGCTCTTTTATATTGTTTTGCAGGCTTTTTAAGTTGGGGCTCCATTTTGCACCAGTTTTCTGCTGGGGTGTCTGGTCCCAGTCACTGCCCTAACATGGAAGCACTTCTGGCCTCATTCCTGTCCCTTATGTATCCCACCCTGCTGGGTCAGGAGTGGGGTTATTTTTTTATTTATTTTTAAAGATTTATTAATTTCTGCATACAGAACTGGGGTACAGGCCAGAGGTACAGGGGCAGTGAGAGGATTCACCAGAGACAGAGTGGGGAGTAGAACAGGCGAACTGATGAAGTACACTGTTGAGGGGAGCAGCGGGTAAGAAAGGAGAGGTCTGCCGCACCATGTGGGTCACCTCCGGGGCCAGGGATCGTACTCGCCCTGAAGTGGCGGTGGCGAGCTTGCAGTGCTGCATCCTAACCCATTGTGCCAACAGGGAGGGCCTAGTAGTGGGGTTATTTTAAATTTTATTCAGTAGAACCCAAACACCCAGCATTCAGCAAGGTTAGAAGAAGAAGCAGTGGTAGAACTAGGCTCAGGAGCCCTTTCTAATTATAATCCATGACAAGTAAAGGCAAATTCCTGCTTTGTGAAAACTTCAAAACGAACATATCACAGGTTTCTTGTTTTCTTTGTCCATTGACCTGGGCAAACCTCTTTGCACAAGGTGCATTCATTCCCCTATCACCTGAGACTGCATCTCTGACCAGTCACTGTTCAGAGACTATCAAAACAGGGAAATGAACAGCCCTCCTTAGTAAACATTAAGTGTTAAGGGTGGCTTAGACAGTAAAAGGAAAGCTGGAGAGGAGTGGCCTGGAGACATCTGCAGAATTACCTGATGACAGGTGAGAAACACTAGGATGTCAGGGCCACAGGAAGGGAAGCATCATCCCACCAAAAGAGATCATGCAGGAAAGAGGTTGAAGCTGTATGGGAAATTCTTATCTCCTTATCTAGAACTAAAAATACTTGTAGATTTTCACTACTCCCTGATTTGCATTTTTAGGCAAGCAAAAGAAACACTGAGATTAGAAGGTGAAGGATAGCGAGGAGGAGGGGTGGGGCACTAAGGACAGGGAGGAAAAGGAGCCACAAAGCAGGCAGAGGTGCAAGGTGTAGGGAATTCATTATCTTTCCAGTTTTCACTTCCCTAAGGAAGAAGTTTTACCACACAGGACAGGAAAGTCCATTCGCTGTACACAGGGGATTTTCTGAAGTTGTGTAAGCTGTTTTCTGAATAGATGCTCCACCCCCTGCACTCAGGAAAGTTCCAGTAACTTTCGTTTTGTAGTCTGAGGCTTTCTTCAAGCAGGGAAGGGCTGAAGCTGCTTCCCATGGCTGGTGAGTAGGGCTTCTTTTCTGTTTATGGGTCGAGGACTTGGGTGTTAGGTCTGGGAGAGGCAGAGATAAGGAAGTGAGGTGACAGCATGTACAACGAAGGTCCTACCTTAGAGCTGCTGAAGAGAGCAGATCTCCAGGTATCTCTCAGGAAAGGTTAAACCCTTCATTTCAGTTTCTGGTCATCAGAGGGAGGGTCATCACCAATAGAGCAAGTTACTTGTGTAAGAGACAATTCTGGTGTGTATTTTTTTTTTCTTTTTCATTTTAAAATAATGCAGATGTTGATAGGATGGCAAATTGGGGGAGGGGGGACTTAAATTCTGATGGGTTGTAAATGCATTCTGAAATGCCTGCTTCCTCTAGTTTCCCTATTAGTCATCAAGGTCCTAAACATGGCTCAGCCAGGCAGATAAGGGAGGCTGGGGGATCTGCCCCATCTGCCCCTCTGCTCTCTCTTGTACTGAGTACACTCTCTCGGTGTTTGGTGTTTTCAAAGTGACTTGAAGTTTTTCCCTTTCTTTATAGCTTTCTAACAGCTCACTAGTGTAGAATTTTTTGTACTGCTAACAGTTTTTAAACTGGCCTCCCTTTTGCTAGGATTTAAACACCCCCCCATCCATCCAGCTCTAGTCTCTTACCCAGAAACCAAAAATGTCTCAGAGATGGTGTCACTGTTTATACAGCTAGCAGCCAAACATGTGACATCACTTTTATGACCTTTGTTTCATTTAAAAAGGAAGAGTTCAATTAATTCAGTGATTTCTAAGTCCTATAACAAAACCAAATCATCTTAAAATATGATTACTTTCCCCTCCCTGAGCTTGAGTTGTCTTGATTGCAGGTATTTACAATCTTTAGGAGATCTACAAATTGTTCTTACATGGCTGGCCTGGCATAGTTTTTTTTTTTTTTTTCAGATTAATAAATGGGAAGATGATCAGTTGATTATCATAGAGTTATTAAATTATAGGTATTGTTAGTGCAATTAACATACAAGACCCCTTATGACCTTCAAGAAAAAAAAATCAAATATTTTAAGACATGTTTCTACTTTTAAAAATGTATTTACTCATTTTTCCACTAATCCCTCAAGAGCATGGTTTTAGACTTTTTAAAAATATGTTCATAGCATTACTCCTGCTATTGTGTCTCTTCCTTTCTTGCTGCTTTCTTCATGCATCCTTATTTATTTTATAATTTCTTTATTTGTATATTTTTACATCAGATATAGTCCCCATAAAATTCACCCTTGCACCATAACCACAGTCCCTTGTGCTCTTTACTGCCTGTGTTTTTTACTCTCTCCTTCTCCCTCCTCTGCAGAATATCTCTGGCGTATAGCTGTCTGGTTATTTTTTATTTAGTTTTGTTTTATTGATTTTCTTTCTTTTTTTTTTTTTTATAATGTTATTTTTACCCTTGATCCCTTATTTGGTTTCCCTATATTCCAGTGAATAAAGGGAATATAGGGAAACATTGGAATATAGGGTAACCATCTGATATAATTTTTTTCTTTCTGACTTATTTCAGTGAGCACAATCCCTTCTAACTCCACCCATATTACTGCAAATTGGCATTAGCTTAACTTCTGTATAGCTGAAAGTATTCCATTGCGTATATGTCACACCTTCTTGATCCAGTTGTCTGTTTTGGGCATTAAGTCTTATCTATTACAAATAGAGCTGCAGTAAACATAGGGATGTAGGTGTCTTTTGAATGAATAATTTTGTGTCTTTTGGGGAGATCCTTAGTTGTGGAATTGCTGGGTCAAATGACAGCTCCACTTTTAGTAAACTGGACTCTCCATCCAGTTTCCATAGTGGTTGCACCAGTTTGCATTCCCACCAGTGGAGGAGAGTTCCTTTTCACCACATCTTCCCCAACATTTGTTGCTGTTATTTTGGTTTTTAACATGTGCCATTCTTACTAGTATAAGGTGGTATCTCATTGTGCTTTGATTTGTATTTCCCTCACTATGAGGAATGTTGGATATTTTTTCATATGTCTATTTGTCATTTGCATTTCATCTTTGGAGAAGTATATTTTAAATTCTAGAGCCCAGCTTTTGACTAGGTTATTTACCTTGTTTTTCTTAAGTTGTGTGAGTTCTTGGTATCTTTGTGATGAGTCCTTTGTCAGCTGTATGACGTAAAAAATTTTCTCCCCATTGATAGGGTGTCT